TCAACGTGTGCAATAACAGATCTCCGAAGCAAAAGTCAATAAAACTGTGATCGAGAAATGATCAGTTTAAATTCCATGCTTAAAATTATATTAATAGTTGCAATATTCTTTACTGAATACAACAATAGTCACTATTTATATTGAAACGAATACAAACCTTTTGTATTATTTTATTTATTAGTTGAATTCATGAGTCGATTAAAGCCAGACCACCATGATAAACCTCGAACCATTGGACCGTCGTTTCATTCTAATGTACGACTCTTCAGAGTTACGCATCCACCACTGACGAAAACAACTATTCAAAATTACTACAATCTCCATAAAACCCCCTTTCTGATATTATTGTTTAAATGTTGCTGGATTTTAAACTTACTGAAAAATGATTTCTTTTTCAATATCAATAACTATTGACCATTAAATGTTCATTGTTCAATTTTTGATACCCATGATTGTTCAATTTAATAAAGTTATTATGAATAACGATAATAATAATTATTAAGAGTAGATAGTTTGTCTAAACATGAATTCATTATTATTTTGTATAACGTTATTTTTATTTTGAAAACTTAGATATGATGAAAAAAATGTTGAAATTTCAGTCAGAATAAATTTTTTTGGAAATTATGAAATCATAAATTTATTGTTTCGATTTATTTATTTATTTGAACACATAAATATTTGTATAAAGGATCGCCGAATACATATGCGCCACACACGTCACTTGATCTGTATGTGGACTGTGATACTGTCCGGGTGCCCAAACCGAAGCACGTGGTTTGCTTAGGAAGCCACACTCGGAGCCTTCGACCTACAATTCTAGTCCACAAGGCAGTGGAGCAACGTTAGGAGATGCAGTCCCAAGGTAGCCGGTGACCAACGATTGGTTCATACACCATTTGTTCCTCCAGGATCCTTGAGCCCATGTACACCATTGGTTTGGAATCAAGGTTTTCCGACTTCCGTATGTGGATCCTCAATATCCATAAACATGGGTAAAGCGCCGGAAATTCGTTTTTCGTCCTCTCAATTTCGTAAACAATATCCCCAGCGCGAGAAGGCAATGAGAAGGACTTTCCTGGCAGTGGCTATATACGCGTGGCCATGTGAGGACATTTCGGGGCTATTGTTTCGATGTAATAAGTCAACGATTTTTTCTAATTATTAGATTTTACAATTCTAATGAATCATAGCATATTAACCAACTTTTATAAAATAACATCTAGGTAATAATTATTAGGGAAATATCAGTCATCAGTAGTGTTATTCATCTTTTTTTCATATTCAATAATCAGCAAAAACATTTTATGCTTTAAAGTAGAATTTGAAGTATTTTTGTCGTTTATTCAGTCAGGATAAAAAACAGTAAATATTTTGATATTAATATAGTTTTGGATTTTGATTAATCAATATCAAGAACAAAATATTTTAAATAGTATTGTGGTGTGTACTACTTATATCTATATAAGTAGTATATATGGCGAGTCAGGAATAGAATGTCTGGCAGCAGAAGATTGAGAAGGGAAGAACGGAAACAGAAAACAATTGATATTGAAATGCAGGAACAATAAAGTCTGAGACAATTAATGAACAATTCGCAAACGAAGTATTAATGTATGGTTTTTTTCTATTTTACCAAGTAATTCTGTAATTTTGTGATAAAAATAATCGGTTGTCCTCACCTCTGTTCTTCTTCATTATAGTATCTAATACTAAAATCCAAGATCTATAATGTTAACCTATTTGAAACTCGTCAGTTAGAATACAACTTTATCAACAAGTATGATTGTTTTAATTGCGATTGTAACTTCAAGTACCAGTAAATTGTTAACTGATAGGCCTATTGAGTTACAATCGACATCATCCTACTCGACGAGTATACTGATATTAATTATTGGTAACAGATTACACTTTGTCCATTGTAAATATTTAGATAGAGTAATGATCATTTTTTTGATGATTAAATGCTACAATATTGTTTGTAGTTAAAAGCTGATTATATCTCGGATTACAAGTAACCAATTTATACAAGCTTTTACAAATAATTATGAATAAAATGTTACATACATAAATTAAAGTTAGCAAGGAAGTCTTTCGAATTTAAGGTGATCACCTTTTAATATATGCAGTTTCCATAACCAGTTTATTGATTTTGTAAAATAACACAGTTTTACTTACATTTATAATGAGTAGACAAAAGTAAAACCTTTGTGGAGAGACTATGAATAATGGACGAAGCGATCAAATTAAAGGTAGCAAATCTTGAATTTTGGTATGAAAGTTATTTATCCATATTAGCTAAATAGCATTTTGGTATTATGGTTGGCGTCGGTTCGTAACGAAATCCTTAATTGTAATTCCTAACCCTAAATTCTAACTCCAAATCTCGATTCTGATTTCTCATGCTTATTTATAACCCTCTTTAGACCCTAGTAGGTTGGCGAATTTTTTCAAGGTCACTTTGGCGTCGTTCAAAAGTCGTCTATAAATTATAGTTTTACCATGTTTGTCTTTTTTAATTTACGTGTGCTTCACATTGATGATGCTATATTATGCATTGGAAGTTATGTTTTCATCGTACGTTGAGAAAAGTCAAATCAAGATAGAACAGCATTTACAAGACACACTATCTTTTTTTTTGGAGAGAGAGGACTTGTGTACAGATCTGAGTAGAATTTAAGTAGAAATCGTTAAACATGAAATTACTGTTGGATTATCAGGAAAATTAACTTTCACTAAGTAATAGCCAATGTCATGTTTGTCTGGTCTTTAAATACTGATCGAATTTTGTTGAACAGATTGCAACGTGGTCATTAATCTAAGTGAATTGACGATGAGTGCACTATGTTGACACTTTTGGTTGCTCGAGGTAGTCAGCAGTGAACTCTATGTGGCAATGATTTCCTGTTGATAAGGAATCGTAAACTGTAAATATCTTTCGCACAGGAGAGTAGCCACAACCTGAATGGTTTATTGGTAACGTTTCAGGGTGACAATGATTGATGCAGGTTACAGGCCTATAAAATGGATCAGTTCCTTCAAGATAAGTGATAATTATCAGCTAGCATGAAATTTAGATCGAGTAAAGTATCTTAGTGACTACGTCTCAACTACTAAACATTCATAATTATTCCTAAACTAGGGAGAATACATGTTTGACGCATTCGATAGAAATAGCCTATTAGAGTACAAACCATTTGATTTAACCACCTATCAATTGTTGATACTCAAAGTGAACTACAATATATTCATCTACTTTAATGAATTTACAGACAAACTTTAGTAAAAAAACACCCTTAAAATAAGTCACTAATTATCAAAACAATCCATAACTATATCAATTAGTACATAGATCATGTTACATATGTAACATTCTATTGTAGAATTGCGAAAATGAATAGCTTAACTTATAATATTTCACAGGTAGGTTCATTTAAAATGAATATTTTGAAACAAAAAAAAAATAATAAATGACAACACATACGCAAACACCCATTATGAATAAAAAATTTTGTGTTTTACAAATCTTTCCATTCGATGAAAATCAAGTAAGTAATGTTACATTTATCATTTGTAATTAATCCAATTAGTTTGATTTTGTTGTTGACCATGTACACTACTTTTACAATACACATTTAATATTCTCACAACATATATTGAGTAAGAAATATTCGCTTTCCTATTGTTATACATTGAAAATAAACTTTATGTAACAAGTTAGTTTCGTTCATTTGAATGTGATATGGATCATATAAACTGAAGGAAATGGTCTATTTTTTTTATATTTGTAAATTAAATATGTTGATTTAACCAATATATTAGATATATCGTATAATGTTTGTTTTAAAGTGAAAGTAATATCAGTAGTATAGAGAAATAAAACTTGAATATAGGTTTCATTATAAATGTTGGATTTGATGGTCCCAAATAAATTAAACATTGAATAGTGAGTTAATAATAAATATATTTTCTTGTAATATCTCAATAAGTAGGAAAATTGTATTTCTAATGTTTCGTGAGTTAATATAAGCCACTTCTTCAGAGTAAATAAATAAATGAAATAAACTTGTGTTAATTTAATATCGATTATTTATTTACTCTGAAGAAGTGGCTTACATTGAATCACGAAACGTCAGGAATATAATTTTTCTACTCATGAGGATATAACAGAAAATATTATTTATTAAAACTTGAATAGTTAAGTACTAAACAATTTTATTTCAGTTTGTTGATTTTATAAGTATGCAGTGAAATAATACCAAATATACAGAGTTTATATCATAAGTATAACACTGATCATTCTCATTGTGAAATTGCACAGAATTAAACACAACGATCTCTTATTTGTAGAAAGATAACAACTGATAGTTCAATTCTGTTTGTTTAAACTAACATTATTAAATGATAGATGTTTAAATATACAGTAGTGTTTGAATTAAATATGTGAATTGGTTTTAGATTTAAATCATTTTATTTAACTACTAGGTCTATTTCCATTTAATAATTCAATACAATTTACCAGTTATCGGTTGAAATCATAAGATTTTATATAACAAAAATAAACCCATCAAGTAAATGACATGTTGGAAAAAAGACAACTATTTAGCTTGATCCACAGCCTGAATTATAATGTTGATGACATTAAGAACTGAATTTCGATCAGTCTTGGATGGCATATATATATATATGGTATGAGCATTATGTAAATATGGATGCTTTGTCACAAGTTTTATAAAAAAAAGATCGATTTTCGCCAACAGTAGAATCTAGAATGAATGTCTCATCCTGTTTAAGACTCACTGGAGAAAGGTACTGGGTTTGAGTCCACATGTGAACATCAACATGGATGTATACCTATCTATCTGACTGGTCCCAAATAAAAAGAAAACGAGATCACTTAATTTGACTGGTAGCCACTATCTATTCTACAATAGTCTTATTACCATATATAAGAGTGAATATGGAAATAAACAATAAAATTCGAACGAAACAAAACTTACTAAACGTTGTAACCAAAAGAATGTGAATGTGCAAGCTATAATAATTAATACTGCAGATAAGAAGAAAATAACAGCAGAAATAATTATTGACCTTTGCGATTTAACTGCACCTAAGACGGAAAACATCAACAATGAGAAAAAAACAAGATTTTATCATAGAAACAAAGTTGAATAATTTTGTAATGGAAAAATATTCTTTAAGAAAATGAGAAACTAAAATTTTATAGCAAATGAATACACTACTATAAGTATTTTGTTTTATGAAATCAATTAATCTTCAAGATATCAATATTATGAATGAGATCTTATCTAATGATATAAGTGTATGCATTTGAAAAGTTCTTGATAAAGAAAAAAACTAGTTGATCAATGAACTCTGGTTTCTAATTGATGTTAATTCATGACAAAAACTATTATTTTTATGTCCTTATGGCCTGTTAACTATCACGTGATTCGATCGCCAATTAGGACACCGACGTATTGATCAAACCAGTGACGCATAAACCAGTACGAACAGCCCAGAATCAGTGTGAGTTCTTACCGGATCTGTGAGATGGTAGCTTATCGCCTAACCCAGCCGGTTTAGTCCAGAACACCAATATCAACCTCTGTCATAGGAATCATGTATTTCAAGCATATGTAGTTTATATACACGTAAATCAAACTGAGTCATACCATAAAATAGAAAATAATAATTATGCAAGAATTTGAGAGACGGTAACTAATAAATTGAGAGTAAGTTAAGAATGGTAAATCATATAATGGTAGTCAATAGGTCAAATGGAAGCTTATAATGAAAGGAATATGAATATATATAATACAGTTACTTAATAGTTAGACAACAACAGCATATATAATAACAGCCCATGAATAAATCCTAGAGGTTATTATTCACCTATTCTTCGTCCGGATATAACAATTACCAAATGAATATAAGTTCATGGATCAATGACAAACAAATTTGAAATGAACACACTACTTTAGTAGTTTCAAGAAATCAATGAGTAGTTTCTAAATAATAAATGATTTAACTTGTAATCCATAGATCTTTGGTTAAAATAATGAGAAAAGTAAAAACCCTAATGAGAATTATTACTGTTCAATAGTATATTCATATTATAGTTCTTTTGATATATCACACAGCTATGAAGTTTCTCTGCTAAATAAACTATCGAATAATTCATACTAGTTTAGTAAATTCATTTTTTAAATTGAACTATAATAAAATCGTTTTCAGAGATTCTTCATGCAGCTAAGATAGGTAGGTGATAAGAAAAATTGCATGTACCTATGAATACCTACAATCTGTCTATCTGAATGCCTTATTGTTAATTAAACATTTTCAATCAAATGGGGTATATTTGCCTTTCGATTAATATACATACATAAACGTCGTAATGTTTCAGTGAAACTAACACGATGAAACTAATTGATCGTTCAGTAGTTACCGATTTCATATTTTCGAGATTTTACTGATGTTTTAAAATGTGCTTTAGAAAGATCAAGTAAATGACATAATTGGAGACCGTACTTTAGTATCAGACTGTAGAAAACTCGAAATTTATATTTCGATTTTTATGCTACTTATCAACAAGACCCATCTTTTGTCCTGTAGACCGATGTCCTCCAGAGATGTGATTTGCAGCGTGTTACATACCACAGAGCCATGTGGATAGTTACTGAATTACCGTAGGACATAAATCTTGGTTCTCCCTTAAGTGAGGATAAACACTTGCTGACTGAGTTCGATTAGAATGAAATCGGGATTCCAAGATTCCTATTAACCTATTTCAAACATCTAGCAACAGCAATATTGATACTATTTCAATAAGGTAAGTGGAACGTTATCCCATTACATTAGATCCCAATTTACCTGACACTTATATTTTACTGTTTAAAGCATGCTTTGACATGTTTTAACAATTTGTGTACAGACCGGTATGTATTATAAAAATATCCTTCAAAAAGTATGACAATGTTAACTAGGTTTTACACAAATGTAGTCCTTAGTGTACATGAATCTCTCCACAAAATGCATTGACGCACAAAAATATACATAATTACATTTCCATTAACCATTATCGCACTTTCTTCCAAGCTAGATTGGGTATACGCAAAAAGTATAAAATAAGCAATAAATAAAATCATATTTGCAAATATCCATTTATACGCTAAACAAATCTCCGAATTTGATGACTCAGTTGTATTACTGATTCATATTTCAGACAAATGTATCAGGAAAACAAATTTATGGTTAGGCAGAAAATCGGTTCCGACTAGCTGTATGCGAGAGATAAAATATTTCAACTAAAGAATGGAGATCAGAAAGAAAATAAATCATAAATAATGTTATAAAACGTGAGGAAAGAAGTATTGATTTGTAGGTATCAACTGTTTTGAAATTCCGAAACCGATCGTATACGCTAGTAACCTCATGCATAAATTCATTTAACCATTTCTTGATAAAACTGAAATGTTTAAGCGAGAGTGACGGTCAGCAAGCTAGCCATAGATAGCGTTCAACCAAGTAAAATTGTGTTAGTTCAAGTTACCACACCATATGACAACAGTGAGATAGAATTCTAAAGACAAATGCCTAAGTAGTAGACATAGTAACAGTACCAGTGGTGATAGCAAAGATGGGCCATAAAAGATACAACTTGAAAAGAATGAATTCGCCAAAGAAAGTGTCGGATAAATTTAAAACTCAAGGTTCCAGGGAAGATAAAGAATGAATGCATTTGTCATGGCGATCAATTCCGAGTCATGTCACCCAACATTTCCAATCATTGTTTACGATAATCACGCGCACTCCAGCTCGGTGGTATGCATTTGATAACACAGCTCAACTCAACTGTCAATGACTTCGTTAACTGATGCCATATTTTGATGTGACCACCCGTAGCTTCATTTCAATCTATTCCAACACTAGCTAGCAACGCGATTCGCGGTAGGCGATATATATATATATATATATATATATATATATAGCACTATCTAATTTCATGATAAAGGGTTTTAGATAGCTTATTTCGTTTATCAGGTATACAAGCTGAAATTAACAAACGACTGTAACTAGCTTCATTATGTTTAATCACACTGTAAATTTTACTCATATTTTGATTGAAGGATTGTCAATATGACTCGTTAACTATAGTGTTCAACTTCAATAAATGAGTTGCATACTTAAGTTTCAGTTGTACTGTAATCGGTTTGTAGAGCAAAACAATTAATCTGTTGATAAAAACTGTACTTGACTTCCGAGTTTCATTAAATCGAAAATTCCATACTTAACTTTTTTTTTCAAGATAAAATTGCAATTATCAATAGTTGTCTCATCAACAACATTGTATCTAAAAATATAGTGAAAATTGTAGAGATGTCTTGTCATTTTCAATATTTAATTATATGCTTTTAGCCCATTTATTGTCTTATTTGATATTCTGTCCACGAAGCATCATATTACTGTATAGAGGATCTTCTTGTCTGATAATAAGATTGCTTCCTCTTTTCCCTGTAGAGCTGAGTGATACAGTTACGGTAGTCAGAAAACAGTTAACAGATTTATACATCATAAGACCCAGTTCTTTTATTTAGTAGAATTCAACTAGTTTGTTTAATTGCATGTAGATTTTAATGATACATTAAGTCAATTATGAGTAACTAGAGTCATCTTTCTAAGTCTTTACTGCTGAAAGATTTCTATTAATCATGTTGCTATGTGAGTGACCCTGGTTCGTATTCCACTGAACTTATCAGTCCCCTCAAGATTATAGACACGCCTTTTTCTGACGAGAGTCAAGTTATACACAATGTAGCACAAGAGCTTTTTAACTACTCTTTCAAACCACAACAAACAAAATTGATTTCAGTTAAATATTAGGAGAAAAAATCAAGAATAATCGACTGCAAATAGCTTAAAGTTCATTGTTTATGAAATAAAACAAGAATAAAGTTTGAAGTCACCTAAAAGCTGATATATTTAAATCTAACGTCAAATTTTTATTAACTGTAACAGACTACCATAGAGAGGAAATGAACAATTAGAATTTTAAACGAGACAAGAATTAGCATACACTATTATTAAAACGAAGGGTTTTTGTCGAAAGTAGAGTAAAAGGATCAACTGAAAACACGAAATCTCTTGTTAGTTTCTGGTTCATCAGTAGAAAACTATCAAAAATGGATAGTTCATGAAAAGGAAGTAAATAATATTGTAAAGCGTAAACAGCTTTTATAAAAGTGATCACTATATTGTCTTTTACAGGTAACTCGAAAAAAAGACATATAAACTTGTCCTAATGGATATGTCAATCATGTATTTGTTCCATGTTCTTGAACCTCTAAAATGACCTAAAAAGATACTTAAAAGTCTCCACGTTGTTGCTAGTTTGAGTTAAGTATTTAAGATTAGGATTAAAGGTTTAGAGTTAGGGTTTCATCAAAAATTGATATAAATTACAATGCAAAGAAAAAAATGCTCTATTGCCATATGGATGAATGAATTTCACCTAAAAATATAAAAGGTTCTATTTAATCATTCAGTTAATACAATGTAGTGCCACTAAATTTAGATCTGTTTCTCAATTCAGGATTTACTTTTAGGAATTATAGACGATATAAATGTGTCTGTTATATACAACCTAGAATGAGTGAATTAGTTATTTGATACGTTTAACACGATCACCTTTACTCTATAACTGCATAAAATAATTTTTCATCATTACTTTAAATGTTTAGAACACTTACAAAGGTATTTGTGATTTTTTTTTAAGAGAAAAAAAGATGATATATGAATTTCGCGTAAAAGGACTTAAAAGTCACATTTTCAATTCTAATTAGCTGTCTCATCTTTAAAGCATATATATTTTATTTTTCATTCATCTGAAATTTACGATAGTGACCATATTTCATGACTTTCATTTTAACTATTTGTGCCATGGCAACACACATCCAAGTTTGTTTTTTTTCAAATTATTTATTAAAATATACATATATACAGTTGTTGAGCTATAAAATGAACCTGTTGAATAGAATTATGTACTAAGTCAATTGTTTTTTAGTAAATAAGAATAAAATGTCAAATATAACAGATAAAACATGGTAATTATGATGGTTATTGGGGATTTTAAAAAATTAATGGATCACTATAAACTCGTAACTGAGCTGTTGTTTGAAATTTCAAACAAATTTAAAGTAAATTTTTCATTTGATTTTTTTCCATAAACTGATTTGATATGGGAAAAAATGATGGAAACTAAGGAATATCGGACAGACATTTCGTCCCGGTTCGGGGCTCTTCTGAGGTATATATTATTATATAAACTCAGTTAAAATCAAACTCCAATTTCAAGCATGTCAGTGACCACAATACAACTGATACAGAGTTTTAACTTTATGGGTCACATTTGAAAACTCTTGTCAATTGGTGATAAGGTATTAATCTCAGTCATAGTTATCGCTAAGTTACCACTTCAATCTTGAGATGGATGATTTAAGTAGTCACAACCTCCTATTACAAATTCGAAGAAAAAATAGACATCAAAGCTAGTCAGTAGAACGGAAAGTGATTTTGTGAATATTGTTGAAACAGCCACAAATTGTTTCTATTATGAATCGATTGAAAACATAAAGCTTATATTTATACTTGTAACACTGATTGTGTCGAGTTAATTCGTACAGTTTGAAGATATGCTTATAAAGACTGATCTAACTCGTCTCACAACCTAGTGGCTATCCAGACTCACTAGTTAATTGAATAATCTGTAGGTGTTTGATGAGAATGACGCTTGGCACAAGTCTCAATTTAAACATCAAAACTAGAATGCAAGTGTATCTAGCTAACTAGTCCCGAATAGAATGAAATGTGCATTTTCCATTTCATTGTTAGGCATATTCCATCTATTCTACAAAAACTCTACATTCATGTTTGTTTAAATTACAATTCATACTAAACCTGTAGTGTCGGTTATTATATTAAGCCCATATACCTTATTCTAGCTTTCGGACAGCCCATTCTATTCATTCTACTTGGGTCACATTCTGACCTTGTTATTTATTCGCTTACCAATCTTGACTGTTTTTATATGAGCGCGTAGGTGTGTACATTTCTTATCCTATTACTCATCACATGTCTGTAACTTACTTTTGTGTAACTATAAATATTGATTAACGCTTGGTTAAAGGGGAGTTGGCTTACCAGCCATCTCCACTCTGTGTCGTCTCTCTTTTCTCTATTCCGTTCGCTTTATATACGAAGTATATGTATTCACAAGTCCATTCTCGTTATTTGACTCATTTAATTCCGTTATTGACTAACGTGATTTAAGTCGATGATTATATACGAGGATAAGCGATAACAAACATTCATACGATCTAATCGGAGTCAGATCTCGGGTCACTAAAGTGGAGAGCCCTTTCGACAACATCGTCCGATCTAAACAACGACAAATAAAAGGGCCCCACAAACCCATCATTAGTATTCAGAAGTTAAATTTCCACTGACCAGAATGAATATTTTTTTTCCAGAAATCGATTTGACAAAAAAGCTTCAATAAATAAAGTTATCAATTTAAATGTCCATAAGAATTTCACTATTTTAATAAAATTAATAACTGACTTACTTAAAGTTAATGATTTCGTAATAATATTCACTAATGAAATTATTGCACCACATGCATTCTGTATTTCCAAGACGATGAGAAGAAGAAGAATAGAAAATTTAGGGTGAAACAATGTAGAAACATATTCATATAAGATAAACGATCAAGGATTTTAAATTAAAAGTCACTTCCAATGTTAAAAAGAGATGTAAACAACTTTAACATTGTAAACATTTTTTTATCAAGTAGAACAGTCTAATAGGTGGTAGTTACATATAACGTTTAATTAGATCTAGAGAAATTAACAAATTGCCACATTCATGTCAAATAACAACATATGATTGATAAAAATGATTTAAATAGTTCAATATGTAGGTGGGATTTTGTTCTTTGAGCTGGATGGTTTAGTCGTGGGAGTTATCATTATTCTTCTGAACAACATCATTAGCATAAACCATCCAGCTTAGAGAATAAAATTCCACATAAATCATCCACCTGAGTTATAAATGAGTGTGCAAATTAAGGATGGGGCAATCAAATCATATCAGTCAGCTACAACATAGGACCATGCACATATATGCATCGGTCCTAGTTGCCATACCTCATTAACACAACACGATGAACATTAAATTCATAGAAGTCACTTCAATGGTAGTAACGTATAAAAGAAAAATAGTGTATAAGGATATAGTGCAGGAAGAAAGGATTAGTTCTTGGAAAGAAAGATATAAAGCAATTTTAATCTCGCAGTTTAAGGGAAGACAGTGAGGGTATACACTTACGCTAGTGTAATCGATTTTGAGTCATGTCACCAAGTCTCCAACCGATAGTTACGATAGTCACGCGGACCGCAACCAATTAGTCTGCATCTACCAACATGGCTCAGACTTGAAGTTAGTGACTTCTAGGACTGATGCTACATGATGGTTTGGTTGCCCCTACCTTTCTTCCAACCGTCTCCAACACTAACTTAGCGTTGCGCGTCGTGGCAAACGGTGTTCAGGCATACGTGACACGTGTCCCAACCATCTCAGTCGATGGAGATTCACAATCTCATCAACTGATTTACCATCATTCTCTAATATCCTATGTCTAACCTCACTATTACTTACGCGGCGATCCCAGAAAATGCGAGCAATATTTCTAAGACATTTGTGGTCAAATACTAGTGGCTTACGAGAATCTTCTACTCTTAATGGCCATGTTTCGCAGCCGTAAAGTAAAACAGAACGAACTGCCCCGCAGTATACTCGTCCTTTCATTGATAGACGAATATCTCATCAAATCATAGGGAATGATTGAGATATTCCCCGTTTAGAAAATAAGGAAATTAATGTTTCATCTTTAATGTGCCAATGGTGTGAACCATCACGCTTTCACAGACTAGTTCAAGTTACTGTGCATAAGTAATTGAATATAACTTCTAGATCTTCCTTATCTATAATAATAAGGATGTTAAAAACTCGCTGACAAGAAGCATCTGAAACCACAATTAAAAATAATCACATCTTGAACTATCTATAACATCTAGCCACAGTTGTTACTATTAATATTAACCTATTATTCAAATAGTAGTTAATCATCTATTTGGCAAATCAGTTCAATAGTTTTTATTAAATCTTCAGTTACTCTCATGTATTATACGATTTACCTATTTAATTAAACTTTAAATGTAATTACATTTGTAAAACTTTTATTAATGATTAGTCTGGTTTGAAACATTTCAATGAAAGTAAATACGCTAGACATTATCTAATTTAAGAATATCATTCTTAAGTCAATGAAGAATATAAAATACAATGAAACATCGTTAACTTCTAACCAACTAAGTATTATGCATTCGTTTACATTTTTCAATGACACACGCTGTTAAATATTCCGAAAGTATATGAATAAATTTGTTTTAATAGCATGTTTCCCTTTACACCATCTTCATAATGGAAGATCTTATAACTAATTATTTTACAACAAAGTGAATAATATAAAACCAATACAAAGTTTACATAACCACAGTAAAAGTTATTTACATATGAAAAATTTAATTTTTAGTACAAACAAGTTTCAACTGGAGAACCAGTAAAAATCAGGGAATACTTAGAAAACAGTTGAGCTGTTGTTTTGGTCTCTGCATTAGAATGCATCAATAACTTCAATCAGTGGCTGAAGGTTTTAGAAGACATGACTCAGAGTTGGTCGAATTGGCGCAGAGGCTATCACATTATTTTGTCTCACCAAAGATCTTGAATTCCAGTATTCCATTATACATACTTTTTCATTTATCTTCATATTGTTGTGGTAACGTGGTACGGAAACCTGGCCGAGCGCATATACGTGGTGATGCGTTCATACATGAGTTTTCAGCTTGATGAAAACCAATACAGATTCCAACAAACTATCCTTTACATCCAATCACGTGATTCAATATGCAGAAACTTCTCATTATGACATCCGTAATTCCTTGTCACTAGTGAAACAAACTCATTCTAAATCATCTCTTTATATGAATTACTTTAGCTGTAAATTTTCTAGACTCTGGAATAACCTACCACAATCTACCCGTACGATAAAATCACTCCCATTATTTGTTCGCTGCATCGATGCATACTGCTCCTCTGAAAATGCATTGTTTGGTCTAGCACCTGTAAGTGTATCTCATTCCACCAATGATATTATAGGAACTTTAAATGTTTAGCCATCTTTATTAGTGCATTCCCTAAGTAAAACCACTTACTTTCTGTCACTTTATGTTAACATCGTCCCTAGCAAGTTTAACTAATTTGAATAGCATCAACAGTATATCAATGTGTCACATGACGCACGCATTTAGGTAGACCTGATTCATATATTTTTGGTAATTACTGCTTTGTTGTTCCATGCTCCATCTTTTCGTCTTAATTTCTCTAGTTGTAGATATTTATCATTAATTCGCTCTGGCACACAAAATGACCTTAATTACTCCGTTCATAAATCAACAGGCTGTCCATTTAGGAAATATTAAAAAGTCCCGGCTGATGCATTGGATCGCTGTAATACATGTACTACCTAGCCAATTACTGAACTAGTATACTTAAAACTTTCTTCTATCAAATGTTTGTTCTGCACATCTAATGTTACTATTCATATCAAATTGATCATGCCTGTAAACTGGCGTGAATTCTGTAATTATTATTTTCAGAATATAAATTATTATATTTATTTAAAAAATGTGTTTTATAGTTGTTAAGTAATGGTTTAAAAATGCTAGTTAGTAAATAACCACTCCTTTGAATATCCTCATGCAAATGGTCAAACAACATATAGCGGAAAAGAATCAAAAAATAAACAAGAACTTACGGATCCTACTATCACTGCGTTTGAATACTTCATGGGTAGCAATGCAGCTATGCCGAATGTTAAAGTTTGGTGAACTCCAACACAACCTAAGTTAAAACGAAAACAATAAAAAAAATCATTGAAATATGTGATGGTGATTCTACTTTTGATGACGATTTTCATCATAAACTGACATGAGGTAATGAAATATTCAACTGTAGTCTATATGTGATTTCTTACAGTCTTTATTCAGTGTTATTTATCAACTAATAAATCATGGGCTAAATAATTGAAGTAGATATAAATTGAATGTGAAATTACATAAATATACTTTAAAGAATTTCAAACTGAAAACTTGTGAAATGGATGATAATTTTTTAATGATACATTTTACTTAGTATTTAAAACATGAAATTCTTTTTTCTGTGTTTGGAAGTGAACAGCTCCGCAAATTATAGAGTAATTAGGTTCCAATGTACGGTAGTTGGAAGTGGTCAGCAAGAATACATAATCGAACTAGGTTTCGGGCTAGTTAGTACTTATCAGCAAGATGCAAGTGCATTCTTAAAGGGAAATGATACTTATTATAGGATTGAAACTCACATCGCCAAGCTTTACAGTGAAACGCTGAGCTATTCGGGAAGCGTTTGAGCTGGAATATGACTGAGATATTTACATGAACTGATTAGCCAATAACGTAATTTTTGTGGAATCTCTAGTACTAATAGAACGCTATCAACGAATTAGATGAGTGGCGACAACGATATATGATCGATAGAATCTGGTCACCACTAAGCACTGTAAAAATATAGCATTAATCACTAGTTACCGATCAATATGAAGTAGGCCTCATTTATTTACAAATAGCGATGAATGGATTGAATTCTTATTTTCGTAATTGCTCACTCAACAGTATTCGACGAAGACAATATGATATGAATAACCTAATCAAGGATATTAAACGGATGTCCGTCGAACTTTATAAATTAATGTATCAGTCAGGTAACATTTGAAAACTTTTCTTAATTCTGCAGTGATGGATGGTGGATAGCAGTGGAATCCAGAACGCGCATTTCGCCCTATTTTGGGGCTCGTCAGCTGGATGTAACTGCATCTGAGTTGACGTTCACTCCGGGACTCGAACCCGGTACCGCCTGCTTCAAACGCCATTGCATTATCCTTTTAGCTACTGAGTCCAGATAGGCAGTAGCTTAGTTCATTTTTGTATTGGTTATTTGAATATCTGCTTATAATGCTTTTGACTTAAGGCAATATCGAGGCAACCCGCACAGGATACAACACATACCAATGAGACTGATCAGTTACAGTCATAAACATCAGCGGGAAGACTCAAACAACCGATACGAAAATAAACTATTCCTCTTGATTCTGTTTCCAAGATAAGCGTTTGTATCACCTAACCAGATAAAGGAGAATCAGACGTCAGAAATTTGATTCACAGACCAAAAAACAATCATCGTGAAAATGTACTATGCTGCTAAATCGATTATAAATGATAAGACTAAGCCCATAATTCCACATAGGCTTCAACATCAAATAAAGGATTATGTTACATTCCACTACATTTACTAGTTTACATATCCATGTGGACACAAATAATCGAACATTGTAATCAAGGTTGACAGGATATCTGCCTAAATGTTTTCATAATCAGTTAGTGTTATGTGCTCCGATAAATTCATAAAGTAGTAACCTACGATCCTCGATAACAATGAGACATAGTATTGAGTTTAAAACAGCTTTCAAAGTTTTGTATGGAGATGGCCAAAGGCAAAGCTTTAGTCATTAGGAGACTCAATCTGACAATCTGACCCAATAGAGAATCTGCCCTGATAATCTTCAATAAGCGTTAAAGCCTATGGTGGTGTGATAACTTCTTTCCATGAATATTTAATCTATCTTTTGTTTGTAATTATTACTTTGTATTTTACTTGACCTTCAATTTGTTTTTATGCGTAAATCCCTAAATAGATACATGTATCCCAGTGTTATGGAGTAAACACATCACAGCAGTCAGACAAACTTTGTTTTTCACTAGACTATGGAAATCCATAAATGACTAATCGTTTTGATAAAATGGGATGAAAAATGTGATATCTATCTCCAGTTAATAATTTTTGTGTTTGAATTTAGAGGAAGTATAGGGAAAACCTTGAACTATTTTTTAGCCAACCAGAAAAGTATGTGACTATGATAATTTCTAACATGAATAATGAACTTTTATTTACGAATAATAACCGACATCAGTTTATAACTCAAGAACGCTTCAGAGCCATATGAATGAATGAATTTCACGTTTGAATCTAGTGCGTTCATCCATTTACTACACTTTGCCATGAATTTAGTTCAATCAGGCTTTTAATTAGGTCAATATTCTTTGTATTGATACAGTGTGAACTACGTTCAGCATGTGTATCTTACAATGACTTCATGTCCCCTGTCTATGATAAAATTGAATAACTATCATATGTGTGTAAAAATTATCTAAGTGTAATTTCGTTTACGGATTACGTGTTTTGAAGGGTCAATAAAATCGTCATATTATTATCCGTTGTGAAATTTGCATTATATCCGAGTTACAAGTATTAGAAGTAGGACAGAGGATAAATCGTATTAAATAACACAAATGTTAGACATCATTTCAATTCGTGATTTGGATAAGTTATAGTACGAAGTATTGCACACATTCCAGTTATTAAAGATCTTAAAATTCAATAACAGATTCATAGAACAATGTGTCCTACGAAATTATATTATTTATTCTCAAAAAGGTTAAGCAGTGGATCCAGGATAAATGGTAATTTGATCACATACAATAAAGAATTAGATTTTTGTTCATTAAATAATTCAGTGAACTTTTGATCTCTTTCGTATGACAAAGGAAAGGAAAAATTGCTTTCCAGCATTTAAAACAATTAGTCCCTTTGATAAATTTCGATAATGTAGTAAGAACACGAAGATTATCAGAACTATGTGATATATTAGCGCAATACGTTCGAACCCCCTTTGTGTGTTCAAAAACAGTTTGTTCTTACCTTAAACCTACCCTCGTAATATTGACTTATTATCCAGAAGGATTAGGTTTCGCTTTGTGTTCAGATTATTATTATTATTATTACTCTTATCATTATCCTTATCTCCTCTTACCCCGTTCCCAGTCTAGTTGACCTTTTATTTTTATATATAAATGCTCTTAACAAGTATATGCGTGATCAGATTGTTCGAAATGTATTGCGCTAATATATCACATAGTTCTGATAATCTTTGTCTTCTAGCATTTAATTTGTTTTTAAAACAAATAAATTATTATATCACATTGTCCAAAAAGTAACCTGTTTCAGTAAGTGAACAATTTAGTAATATGATGTTGCCCACCCAGAAACTACACGTTTTGATAACAAATGGATATGAAATAATCTAAGAGTATTTTATTGCACAATTAATTAGTTACAGGGTAGCAATCAACGTTATGTTTGACTTGTCCTTTAGTGTTGATCGAATACTATCAATCTTAAATGTAATCAATGGTTTAAGTAATTCAACGCTGTAAGTACCTCTGGTTGACGAGTGATCAATTAACATAAATCCTAAAACGGTTTCCTTTGAACTACATCTAACTATTGGACAGTACTTTATCCTATATCACACAAGAGAGAAACAAATCACATAGTTCGTAAAAATTAGGAGGAAATGATTAATTAATTAAAAAAGTATTTTTTTTAAAAAGTGATTCAAAGTAAATTTGGGAATGTATCTTAGCCATTGCGATTGATTTGGAATAATCAACGTAAAGTTCTTTAATTATTGATTCATAACATCTGAAAGACTATACTTAAATGGAAAATGTGAATAGAATTTATTCACAACAATAAGTAGTTTCATTCGTTACGAATCATGTTATGATTTGTTGTTTATTGTGAATATTATTACAGTGACAATTAACTAACAGTGGAATAATTATTGAAAAATTTAAGTGAACATGGTAGAAGTTCATTATCTCATTGATTAGTTCATATTTATTGCCTTAGAACTCAAAGCTTACATTAAAAACAATTCAATTAATTTTACGTAAACAAAACAGAAACTCTTTGAAAATGAAATTACAGTTGAATGTCTGTAACCTTTACATTGTTCTCTTCTTACCTTTAAGTACTTTATATACATAAGTTATTCATAAAAGTAAATTAGGGTTAGAACAAATATTGACAGCTGACCATTATTTATTTTGAAATTTGTGTCTAAGTATCTACTTATTGTTCCGATTTCTAAACTAACTATACCAAATATTTGAGGTAGTCTGAGTTGACTCAATGTCCTTTGAGTGGGAAACTTTCTATACACTGAGAAATAAGAATTAATTGATTAGTTCCATTAGTCGATTTATAAATATTTAGGCATGAATGATACATAGAGAATAATTCCTTATTAACATTTAAGGTGACAACTTTTCAATGACCAAGGAGAAGAATATGGAATTAAACAGAAAATATTTAGGGATGAAATAAATTTTCTAAATAGTATTATTGCAAATGAATATTATCCAACCTAGCATAGTCATTTGATGATTTAATGGTTATAATAATGATCATATTATACTGGGTCTAACTTGAATTGACTCATGATTTCAACTATTAAAAATTACTATAATATCCATAAAACCCCTTCTGGTATTCATTAACATATGTCCACTAGTGACCGGCTTCAAGAGGTATTTCCTGGAGTTCTAGTGAGAAGCAGTGACCAGTGAAGTTCAACCGGGTCTGTTGTGAGATAGTAACTCATTGAAGGCAATAGTGGATAGGTCGCTCAATTATGTGGATTAGTTGAAGGTAGATAATAACACCGTTGGATGCCGGCTCAGTGGTCTAATGGTTAAGCGCTCGCAGGCGAGACTGATAGGTCCTGGGGTTCGAATTTATAAATTTATTCGAATTTCAACAAAAAATATTATAGATAAATTATTTTAGATTTACTGTTTATTCTATGAAATACTACTTATTTAAGGTGATAGAAATGAATCAATGTAAAGTTCTGCGAAACTGAAGAAAGAAAATTTCACTATTATAAACAAGTAAAAATTTTGATC